GAGCATTCATGCTGTATGGATGGGCAGCTTAACCTTGCGCAGTACCTCACTTGCACAGGTCTTTCACTGTTGGATGTGGTCCTTGTCACCAGTGCCGAGTGTTGAAGAATGAGAAAATAAAAGGATTACTGGCTTTTAAACTCCTAGTGTTTGCACCTTTAGGCTTTCTTTTACGGATTTGAAGGCCATGTGTTTCTTTAAAAAGAAAGCTGAAATCCTTGTGTAGTAATAAAGAGTAATAAGAAAGGAGCTGTTGGGACTCTAAGGAAAAAAATAAACTCCCACAGGTTCTGAGACAACTTAAGTGGATGTTGGAATAGGGCTCTTCCACACTGAAGGAGCTCAGTGACTGTGAGGTATCTGTGGTCCTTAAAGTGAAAAATAAGTGAAGAAGCATTCAACAGGACTGTTTTCTCATGATCCGGTTTAGACTTTGGCCAAAATAGACTCAGCTTGATTTTAGTACCACTGAACGCTTTGAGTCTGAAAGCCACGAGACTTTTACCAGAAGCACCACAGCACAGGTGCTGGAGGAGGGCAGAGCCCCCTCAGCCGTGCCCCGGGGCAGCAGCGATTGCTCCTGAGCCATTGTGTTCTGTCAGGGAGATAAATATTTTTCAGCTCTTCCAAGAGCCTCACATGCAAACGACTAGTTCCATTTCCTTCCTGGGTTTTCCTCTTGGGGATCTTCAAATCCAGCTGTTTTTTCTTGCTCTTCTCAGTAAGGCCACTGCAAATGTTCTGTCTGGGGTAGAGTATTTCATGGTTCTCCTTCATCTCAGCTCTAATCTGTGACAGTCGGCATCTCTGCCTACCTGCTGTCAACTCCCAGCCCCAGCTCTGGCCACAGAGGAGCACTGTGGCAAACTCATAGACCCCTTTCCGGCTCCGTCGTGGGAGAAACCAGTACACTGAGCTGAAACAAACCTCTCTTGTTTCAGCCTTCACTAGTGAAGGTTTTTGCAAAATTGCTTCCCAAGATCCATCAACTTGCTGGATCCTCTCCTTCTTTATTAACTATGTATTAATCTTTATTAACTATGTACTAATCTCAGCCTTTAAGTCAAGTTTAGCGAAGAGCTGAAAGACCTCACACGAAGGAGCTGACTACCCTGTGAGAGTCTTGTGTCTGACATGGTCCCAGTCACATGGGAAACAAGGCTAGCGATACAGCTGTGGCAAGTGTACAACCCACATGAGCGTGGGGAGAAAGACCAGGTAGAATTTCTAAAACCTGAGTTTACATTCCACCATGTGCCAAAAAGCCGCTTTCCGATAGGCTGGCTCTAAGTGACTACCTGGTTTGGAGACTCAGCGGTGGCTGTATGTTTACGCACAACCCACGTAACTCCACAGTTTGGCTTTAGCTTTTGAAGCTGGTTCGTCTTGGCGACATGAGTGAGCCCAGAATATCCTCGGCTCAGCTGGACCTGGGTTGGCGCACGTGTGTGCCCATCTCGGGGATAATCTGAGCACCAGCTGGCCCTTCTCCATCTGATAACAGCAATACCCGGCTGTTGCCAGAACAGTTATCCCCATAGCAATGGACTCCTCATATGTTCCTGCAGCGAAGAAGTTTGTTTGGGCACAAGTAAGTCATTAGGCATGTATTCATGTGTATCTCCATATGGCATCAATTTCTCCCTCTTTGAATCTGATAAAAGAGCTCTTGAACATGTCTGTGTGTACCAGCATTGAAGGCTCTGCCTCACTGCGAGACTGTTTCCAGCCTATCCAAAGGCTCTTGAGATGGCTGTCAGAGAGCAGAGAATGTATACGGCTGCTTCCTAGTGATCACTTAGAAACACAGCATGGGTGGCTCTCCTTTTTTATTAGTCTCTTTTTTTCCTGGTCTTCCTCGTATTGCTTGGTTTTGCTCTCCATTGCCTCAGCTTCTGATGGTGTGGCACTTTCCCAGTCCTGTGGCTCTTTTGATTTGCTGTGACTCATATTCATCTGGCCTAAATTCAGGCTAATTTCCTGCTTTAGTGTTTCTCATTGATTTGAGGAGGCTTAGAACTGGCCAACAAGAAATGTCAGACACTGACAGTTAAGTGCAGTTTAAGTCATATAAATTAGTCTGGCCCTTACATGTGTCAGTGTGGCACTTAGGGACGTGGTTTAGTGGTGGACTTGGCAGTGTTAGCTTTATAGTTGGACTCAATGATCTTAAAGGTCTTTTCCAACCTAAACAATTCTACAATTCTGTGATTCTAGGTATATGTTTTCTAAACCATTTTTTTTTTATTTTGCATTTATTACGTAAAATGTTGTCCCCATATCCCTCCTCCTTTCCTCTGGGCCTTTCTCTCCATACCTCCTTTACGTGCTGGCTGCAGAAAGAAATCTCAAGGAACAAGTTCCTAGAGACAGAGGCTGGGCTTTGAGGGATGTTGGTTGCCTTTCTGCTACCTGGCCAGCTCTGGGGCACAGCACAAAAGGGGCACCACTCTGCCCACTCACTGACAAGCTCACATCTTGTATCACACCATTACACCCCTGGCTCTTGCCCCAGGTGCATTTGTCCCATCTGTACCCTGGCTTGCAGCATACTGTTAGAGCACAGGACTTAAAAATAGAGTGGAAAAAAGTGTGTTGAGCCAGTCATTACAGGCCTGCTTCATGAGCTGGAGGAAAATAAATGGGGTTTTTTCCGTGAAGACAAGGCTTGGAAAAGCGTTTAGAAGTAATTAGTCAATGAGACATCATGAAAATTCAGGTGATTTGCATTCCAGCTAGCTTAGAGCAGAGGGACATCTGTTATAGCTTCTTCATCAACATACGCATTTGCATCTGCCTCTCCTCTTTATGCGAAGATGCTTTAATCATTTTATTCTGGTGGTTCATTTCAGTCACACAGAGAGAGTCGTGAGTGGGAACAAAGTGATTTGCTTTGACATCCTGCAGTGGTCAAGTGTACTGAGCCTCCCTACAAGAACCATTGCTCGCAAACATAATAAAATAATGGGTATTTAAAATCTTACCAAGATGATATTAGGCTCATGCATGCTATTTCAAGTGCTCTTGAATAAGATGCATGCTATTTGGTAACATCCTCCTATTAGCTTGTTTAGTCATATGTTAAAGGAATTGCTTGTCATCCTAAATTACCAGTTGAGTCAGAACTGCATGAGCCACAATATTTTTCTTCGGTACAAAGGGTTACAACGTTTTGTAGAAAACATGGGTTGTAATTACCCTTCTGCAGCAGGGAAGGGGGAGGGTGGGAGGGAGGGAGGGAGGAAGAAGAGGACTTATCTCAGGGGATTTTATATAAAATACTGAAGTTCATGGGATTTCAGACTCGGTTCTTTTTCCTGCCCACAGGTTTCCACACACATAGAATAGGACAGGGTAGAAAAGTTTCAGCAGCCCTCAGCCTCCCCGCTGGAGGCTGGGAAGAGTGAAGGTGCTTAGCGAGGCTTTCCCAGCCCTTTGCAGGGAAAGGATGTTTCTCCCTCATTCCCTGGGAGATGCGGCACCAAACACTTCCTCTTTCCTCATGGCTGTTTCCATGAAACCCTTCATGGTCTTCGCCCTCGTTTTACCTGTAAAAACCAGGAAACATGGAGAAATTCCTGTGACAGAAATTACTTCCTTTTGAAACTTCCTCGTTGCTAAAGTGGGTGGAAAGCAGGTGATTCTATACCTACCCCCACAGACTCCACTGTGAATTAGGGATGGGGGAAGACACACCCTACCAACAGAGAAATGTTGCAGTGCAGCCCTAAACCTGCAGCTGCGTATGCGGCGGCAGCAGAGGCTGGCAAGGCTGAGCTGCTGTGAGGCAGCAGTCCGGGACTCCGCGCCGTTCAGGTTTGGTCTCGTTCTTCTGCAGGTGAGTCCAGAAGACAGCGGTGAAGTCATCGGGTTTGTGCTGGTTTGGCTCTGGTGCACTGTGACTTCTCCCCAGGAGTATAGTGCAGTGTCATCAGGTAAACAGTCTTTGGGAAAATGGGTTGTGCATCACTCGGTTCTTAAGAAAACCAAGCTACTGTGCAATTGTGGCCTGTCCTTGTGGTGAAGAGGAGCCAGACCTATTTCTTTCCTCATGCTGATTTCACACCACTTCATATTCATCAATATTTAGTGGAGCAATTGCTGTTTCAAGCCAACGGGAAATTATGTGTAGGGACATGACACCAGGACAATAAAAACATTCCTGCCCCTCTCCAGTCTCTCCCCTTTTACCCCTCACTCTTTCTGCCTTGCATTTGAAGCATCTCATTTTCTGTTCTCTGCTACATCCGTATTTGTAAAAAATGAGCAGATCTTTTTGCTGATGAATATGAAGCTGAGAAAACATGGTTGGTTTTCTCTGTATATTCTCATCTCATCTCTAGAGAATTACATGCATGGATTCTTCTGAAGGTAGATGAAACTCCCTTTTTTAGATACCTCTCTGCCACACCAAATTACAGTGCTCATTTAGGTGGTTTCCACACACAGGAGAAAAATTGCCCAGAGTTGCCTCAGTGTTTTGAAATGTTTTAGTGAACCTGTGAATCATCTCATAACTTACTTCTTCTTTTATGTTTGTATGGTCTTACTAAATTATGGTCACATTAAATTCTTCAGACTTATTTCGGCCGTGGGCTCTGATGTCAGTCCATGGTCCAGCATATTCCCCGCTCAGAGGCAGATCTCCCATTTGGGTCAAAGACAGGCCTGACTTTCAGAAGTCATTTTGCAGCCCAGTCTTTCCCAAAATTGAGGGCATTTACATCTGAGGCATGGTGTCATGACTCCCGTGACAGAGGAGTTTATGCAGAAGGCCAGCTAAACTGTATCTTACGCATGCTTTGGCCCATTTCTGTGAGAAGGCAAATTAACTGTCCCTTCCCGGCGCAAGTGTAGTGCATAGCAACCTAATCCTGGAACGCACCTAAAATGAAACATTAAGATCTATAATTATCGCTTTTATTAGTGCTGTTGACATGGGGTTTTTTAGGTTTACACCTTTTGAAGGAAAGGGCTCAGCAGAGCTGGAACAGTGTAATTCATTCGAAACACGTTTGAGGACTTGCTAAGGAAGAGCCGTTTAAGAATGTGTCAAGGTAATAGTTCTCCCATCTCTTCACTCTGTTAATCACTACTTTCCATTTGTTTGGGGTCATCTTCTCTATTCCTTGAACAATCAAGTCACTGAAGAAGATACACCTATAGGAGTGGGTCCTTTCAATAGACCTCAGGGCAAAGTCCTTCCTGTTGTTTATAATAAACCATTTCAAGGAAGACCAGGCGACATCCATAGGATAGAGAGAGTTGTAAGACGAAGGCACGACAAGAAGCTCATGGCCATTGGCTCTAGCAACGTCAGGGCAACACTCGGTGCTGGACATGCAGATCGCTGGTGGGGCTGGCGGCAGAATTCCTGGCTCCGGCTCCTTGACGTCTTTTGTCCCCACATGCATTGGCTGCCTTTTGTCCCTCGTCACAATGACGCACTTGCCGTAGGAGGAGGTCAGAGAATCGCACAGCTCCTGAAAGATACCGTTCTGCCGACGGATGGGCAGATCACCTCTTAAGAGCAGTTTGAATCTCCAGGGCACCCACCCTTGGCTGCTGCCAGCGTGAAGAAGTGTCCATACCGGCCAGCGCAGGCTGGCCTCCTTGGATGTTTTTAATCCTGTTATAAGACTTTCTGGAATATCTGTTTCCCCTAAAAAAACGGTGTTGAAACCATTATGCTGCAGGGCCCTCAGTGCTTTCAAATACTGCAGGCACTGCCTCTTTGAAGCAGCATCAAAACAGCCCCCGTGAATTACGTGCCTGAGAAGTGGGTTTGCAAAGTGCTGCATCTTGGCGTCGCAGGGCCCGTGGAGGGTGCTCGCAGAGGTCACAGTGCGCCCGTTGCTGCGGCGTTACCCTGTGGTGCTTGCAGAGGTCACAGTGTGCCCGTTGCCGTGGCGTTACCCTGTGGTGTCACACCCGACCAGCGGCAGCACCGGCAGGGGATTCCAGAGGGCTCATCAAAAGGAATCTTGGAAAAACATAATACTTTCAGGCTGGGTAGGCTGCAGCTGTGCAGCTAGTGGCTTTTGGTCGGGATGTTGCTCATCGTGAACATCGTGGTTCCTCCGCTGACAGCAGTGAGTGGGTGCTCGGATGCTGCGTACGTGTGTGGGCTAGCCAAGCACCACCGAAAGGGCTCCAGAAAGATGAGGGTGTGGCAGCAGGAGCTGCCCAGAGTCAGTATGGAGAGTGAGTCGATGTCTGAGCTTTGAGATCAGTGGTAGAAACCATTCCCTCCCTCCTTGGCAAGTGTGTGGCCTCGTAGATGTGGCCTAGAAATCCCCCTGGGTGGAGAAGGGGGGCTGAACCCCGGGTGCCTTGTTACGGGGACCTCTGGACCCTCACACGAGCCTCTCTGATGGGCAGCCCCAGCCCTGCAGTGTTGCGAGATGATGCCTGGTGCCCGACACCCAACAGCAGAGCAGCCGCTGTGGGGCCTGCCATGCTCAGCCTGCCCAGCTCCAGGCCTTGGTAGTGCAGGCCTTAAACGTGGCTTCAGGGTGAGGCATTTTCAGGTGTAATTTGTTTTCTATAGTTCCCTTAGCTCTGTGCGCTTTCCTCCCTACAGATGCACATGCAGAGTTTTACTGCAGGAGCAAACTTGTCAGCACAAGGCTGTTAAATTGCTCACACTTAGCTGTACCTACAGGGCTGTGAGTAAATGCTGGCAGCATCATCCGCCTGCCAGAGGGGGCTGAATGTGCTTGTATGACGGTGTGCATTTCCTTGCCCACCTTTGAAACTGAGATACCTCACGGTCCATGCTATCGCCTCTGGAACAGTTTTCCTTCCCCCTAACGCAGTGGGTAACTGAAGTCAAAAGATGCCTGAAGAGGAACATGGCTGGGGAGGTGTAACTCAGCTGTCTGGATGCTCTCCTTGCAGAGGCAGATTAGTAATGGGGCACATCACATTAGCAGCATCACATGAAGAGCAGAACCCTCTTCGGCTCTTCTCTAAGAAGGCTATACCTCCAGAAAGGGCTTCCCCTCTCCTTCCCAATCCTCTCCTCCCTTGCCAGGGAGCAGTCCCTCAGGCCTGCTGTCCATGCCAGGCTAAGGACAGCTCTGACCTCACCCCTCAGACCTGCCCCTGCCTCCGTCGCCAGCGGCAAGCAGCAGCTCTGTGCCGGAAAGCTGTGGTGCAGCAGCAGTCAGATGTGCTCCAAAGGCATGGTCCTCACCTACACTGGGCCACACATGTAGATACAGCTGGGGCAGCCCAGGAAAACTAGGTTTGATGTTCCCCTCTTTGGACTCCCTAAAACAATCTTGAAACTCTTCCCGTTCCTCTTCAGCCTCTTGTGTTTTCGCAGCATTAAGCGAAATGCTGCGTGACAGCCAGCCAGCTGCTGTGGGCTGAGCGCTGGTGAGGGCTTTCCTGTGCTGATGGAGGGACTTAGCGAGGTGGATGAGGGAGGTACAAACCAGCCTTTCTGCTCATGGGGCTGTAGGCATGGGCAAGGTGTGTGTATTTTGTGGATTTTGGTGCTGTCCCAGAGGGACATGGTGATGCTCTTAGCCTGTCAGGTGGCATCACGGTGCCTGCACCTCCGGCTGGCCCTGGCTCCTTCAACCTCCCTGAGTGGTCTGAGCCTAACTGGTTATGAAAATAACAATGGAAATGCAGCTGATATGTAGTAGTGAGATGGGAGGGATGAACTGCGTTCATGTCCTTTTTAGAGTAACTATTTGGGAAGTGGATTCTCCTCTGTACCATTCATATACGTATGACATAAACCCACCTGTTAACCTGTTTCAAAAAACAATTATTCTTGGGTCCAAGTGTCTCAATATCAATAAAAGAATTGGGCAGCAGACATAAGGCACTGGGCTGAGATACAAAAATACGTATTTTATTTCCTGTGCTACCTTCAGGCTACTGTGTTACGTTTTGCCTCTCTTCCTTCCCACCCCACGTCTGCATAGCCAGTGAGCACTTTGGGGCAGGGACCTTTCCTCCTTTACTGATTTAGACTTCTGACATTCCCTAGCAAAGCCACAGGATGCAAAATCTCTGGGCATAGTCCCTGCCTCACAAGTGCATTTTGAATTTGGGAAAAGGCCCTTCTGATTGCTCTCTTCAGCTGTTGAAGCGGAGTCTCCTGCTCTCCCCCTGCCACACTGCCATCAAGACCTGCCTCTGGCAACAAGGCAGTGCCCTGAGGCTGGGGTTTGGGCTTCGGCGCTGGGACCAACCATCTTCCTCCGCCACCCCCAGCGCACACAGCCACTGCACCCAGCACCCCACACGCAGGTCCCTGCCCCCCAGGTGTCTGCAGGTGTGGGAGGGTGGGCTCAGTGGCACATGGAGCATTTCACAGGGATGCCCAGTCTCAGTGGCATCATGCTCCCCCTGGGAATGAGGCAGGAGGCCTGGCCCCTGCCTGCTGCCAGCTCCTCCATCACCGCCCGGGTACACAAGTGGGAGCTGAGCCGTTGTTGCCAGGGCCATGCACTTTTTTGGTGCTTCCCCAAATTCCATTGTACTGCTTAGCTAAGTAACAAATTTACCAATTACCCATGAACAAAGTCCCTAATAATGAAGCAATTAGGATACTAATTATCAGTGACATACCAATTACCCATTTCAGTAGTAATTACGTTATTAAGTTACCAGTCACCACATTGTATATGCAAGCTAAAAATCATCACAAAACCTTTATTTTAAAATCCCAGATAAAAACATAATGAAATACGGAACATTATGAAATACACATAAAGAGTAGGCAAGATGTTAGGCAAACAGTGGATGGTTTTACTGCTGCATTATATGACATGCAGCAGCTAAAGTTAAGTTGATAATTTTGAAATTTAACTTTTTTTTTTTTAATCTAAATAAAATCTCTTGTAAGTTTGAAATTTTGTCCAAAACCAACATTTGAGAACAGTATTCTACAGGGAATTTGGTTCTCTTCCAGTCTTACTCAGAGTGAGAAAAATTATGACTCTTTATCTAACAAATACCATACCCAATTTAAATAATCTATTTTCCCTCTTGGCTGTGTGATGAAGTCCTGAAAATTAGCTAAAGTCAATGCCAAAGAAGTATTTTCTGGTGTCAAAGGAGACTTTCCAACATGTGTAATTTTAGCTCTTGATCCATGATGGAACCAATGAGAAGTACTTGACAAAATCAAAGGTGGCCTCAGAGTGGAAACACAGAAAAAGGTGGAAACTTCAGGAAACAAATTAAGCCAATACCTAAAGTAAGAGCCCTAAACTTCTCAGAACAGAGCTAGTACAACTGCTGGCAGTTTCCCACAAAAACTGGTGCAGCACCTTGTGAAAACTGATGAAATCTGGGTTCGAGCATTACAGATTCTCTGCCAAGGTTGAGCTTATCAGCCGTTCCCTTGGTGACATCACAGTCATCACCTCTGCCCAAGTACAGCCACTGTTTCAGGTAGAAATACGTGGCCATCTGTTGGCTGGACTCTGTAGGAACGTGGTACCTTCAGAGCCAAAGCTCATTATCAGATGTGATTGACACTGTGTGCACGCACATATGCATCTTCCTGAGGTGGGGAAGAAAAAAAATGAAGGGAAGATACTTCAAGACCGAGGGGTTGGCATAGAGCTGATGGGTGTGCCTGGGTCTGGGAAGGGGACAGAGCCATTAGGTCCATACCTGAGTGGCCAAGTCAGAGTTTAGCTCTCAAAACATGGTGTAGAGCCCCCCACTGAATGGTGAGCACAGGGAAAGGAAGGGCTCACCTCACCCCCACCCCACACTGCCAACGAGAGCTGACGGTGACCTATAAGGGTGTGAGCAGAAATGGTCTCATCCCCAGGGGGTCACCAAAGGGAGTATCAGCAGGTTCCTGTCATGCATCAGCAGTGAATTAGTGTTAAGAAGCTCAGTTTCCAGGGAGCCAAAGCACACTTCCTATGGCTGTGGAGTTCACCCTCCATCCTGACTCTTATCTTGCATCAGCGCACCCAGAAAAGCAGCAGCCAGTGCTGAAGGAGATGACATTTCACTGCACAGAACCTGGTGTGGGTGATGGATGTCTGCAACCTGTATCTAACGCTCATGACGGAAAGAGATTTGACTACGCACTGGGCACAAATTGATCATTCTCCAAAATGGATGGTGCTACTCACCACCTTCTGGAAAAGCCCACGCTGGGTAGAAGGAACAAACCTAGGACTGCAAATGTTTTCTCTACCCTCAAAAGACCTCTCATTTTTCAGACCTGAATAGCTGAGGTGCAGCAATGGGTGTGTGGTTACTGAGTGCAGTCAGGAGCAGTGAGGATAAAGAGTGGATCTTGGCTCAAACCGAGCAGTTATTAAATCAGACATGGTAATGAAGCCAAAGGCGATGGGGTCCAAAACTAACTCAACTGCCTAATTGGCCTCTGCTGGAGACAGTGTCTAGGGAATATGTACCTGTCCAAAAAAGGAGATGTGTGTGTTGGAAAGCTGAATCTCTGGAATTCAAGGAAGAAGTGTGGAAAGCCAAGAGAGCAGTGTGGATTTCATCTTGGCTATCAGCTGGAAGTATCAGCCTTGGAACGTGTCTTATGAGATCAGGCTGTGGAAATCCCATTTAAGGATACGGCTCACATGAAGTAAGTAATTTCCATGCAGTTGACTTGGACCAAACAGTGGCAACCCCCCCTGATAACAGTAACACTGTACATCATGGCAGCAAAGGATATGGTAAAAAAAAAAAAAAAAAAAGAATTCGCAGAGGCAAAACATGAAACCATAGATGGAGTAAAAAACTGTTTAAGAGAAGTTAGGAAGGAATGTTTCGTACAAAATGGTTGAGAACCTTT